GGACAGGAGGTGGGGGCTGGGGCTGTCTGCTCCCCACTGCAGCCCGCCCCTCCCCCAGGCTGGGCCCCGCATCTCCCCTGCCTGGGCCCCCCACCCCTCACCAGACCCGCCTCAGAGCCCTGGGAGCCTGGGGTCCCCGCATTTCTGCCTGAGTGCCACCCCCGACAGCCCATCCTTGAGAATATGAGGGAAGGAGACGGTGAGAGACTCGGAGCGGCCCTGGGGCGGGCTGCACCCCCTCTGAAACGAGACACTTTCGTGACTTACCAGGTACTGAGGAGGGCCCTGTGGTTGGGGGGCTGGAGTGCCCAGATGATCCTGGGAATAAGGGCAAGAAGAGGGTGAGGGGCTGGGGCTGCCCTGGAGTCCCCTCCTCTGCTCAAACTCTCCTCCTTCTGCCCTGTGGCCTCCCTAAGGCCGTCCCTCCTCCCACCTGCACCTTCTGGACCTCAGGTGACAGGAGCGAGAGTGGGGCCCCTGGGAGGACCCCTGTTGGCCTCCTGCCCTCTGAGGGGTGAACCCCTCTGGCTGAGCCTCCCCTAGAACCCCCTCACCCCATCCCAGCCCAGAGCTCTCCTGGGGCAGCGCCCTGAGCTGACCCTTCGAGCTCAGAGAGGACAGGGTCAGGGGTCCTCACCTGAGACCACGAGCTCCAGGGGGTCACTGGGCAGTGACAACAGGTAGGGGGAGGTGCTGAGTGAGCTGTAGCACCTGTAGGTGCCCCTGTGGGCTGAGGTGACAGGACTCATGGAGAATTCAGCCTGGTACCTTCGAGCTTTGTACTTTGATCTTTGACGCAGGGGGGGATCGGCTGCCCCCTCCTTGGTCAGAAGGAAAGTGTCCATCCTCCTCGATGACTGACACAGCAAGGTCACGTCCTCTCCCGAGGCCACCATGGGGCCTGGCTGTGCCGAGAGGGAGGGTGTGTCAGGGAGCTGTCCTAGAGAGTGGAAGGAGGGGTGGGTGGTGGTCTGAGCTGAGACCTCCCCAGGGCCTGTCTCTGAGGACCCTCAGTGTCTCTGTCCGTCTCTGTGATCTCTCAGCCTCTCCCTCCCCACCCAACCCTGTCTCTCTGTCCCTCCCTCCCTGAGACCCCCACCCCTCATCTGGCCATCACCCCTTGGGGCTCCCCTGGCAGGGCCTGTGCAGAGTGTGGGTTCCTGACTGACCCTGCTGGGCTCCTCACCTGCGATCAGGATGTCCAGGGGGTCGCTGGGGGCCGACCACTCGGAGGAGAGGTTCTGTCCACCGTAGCATCTGTACTGGCCCCTGTGGGAGCGGCTCACAGGGCCCAGGGGGAATTCGGCCTGAGTCAGCCCAGCCTGGGGCTGCCGGCCAGGGCGCTGGGGGAGGCCATGTTCCCCCTCCTGGGACAGAGCAAATCTGTTGTAGCCGACATCAGAGCGACACTGGAGGATCAGGTTTTGTCCAGGGGCCAGGACAGGGCCTTGCGGGCTGAGCAGGGAGGGCTTCCTAGACGAACCTGGAGGGAAGGACACGCCGTGGGCTGCAGAGCTGGTTCCTCCCAACACCTCCCCTGTCCTGTCCTGACCCTGCAGGTCCCACTGTCTCTCACAGTCTGGGCATGTGGCCCCAGGAGCCGTTGTTCCCTCAACGCCCCTCCCACCTCAGGCTCCCCTGGAAGCAAGGCTCACAGTGATATTTTTGGGGTCTCAGAAATGAATGGGAGAGGATGAAATCCCTTTACCTGAGACCAGTAGCTCCAGGGGGTCACTGGGTTCCGACCACACCTGTGGGGAGTTCCTGTAATAGCCATAGCATCTGAACGTCCACCTGTGGCTGGGGGTCACGGGGCCCACAGGGAACAGGGCCTGGTACTGCCTGTAGGAGGATTGCTGAGAGTCCTGGGTCCAGGAGAGCTTGTTCCCTTCCTCGATCAGAATGAACCTGCCAAATCCCTCCTGTGAGCCACACTGGAGGGTCACTTTCCCTCCTGAGGTCACGACAGGGCTTGGCAGGGCTGAGAGGGTGGGTTTACTATGATAGAATCCTAGGAGAGAAGGAGGCAGCGTGTTCAATGGGGCTCACACCTCCCACATCACCCCCAGGGCTGGGCTGTGATAAGGAGACACCCCTGAGAGCAGAGCCTGGGGCTGGGACCCCCGAGTGTCCTCTCACCTGTCACCACCAGCTCCAGGGGGTCACTGGGCTCTGACCATCCATCAGGGCTGTAATAGTAACAGTGATATCGCCCTGCATAGTGCTCTGTCGTGGATGGGATGTTGAACTTGGCCTTGTCCCCAGGCTCCAGTGGTTTCTGTGTGTCCCAGGGCTCTTGTCTTCCCTCTTTATCCAGACGGTATTTCTCGGCACCCAGGGTCCCCTGACACCAGATGGTACCAGGGCTCCGCCAGGTGATCAGAGAATCTGGCTCAGCCCAGAGGGTGGGTTTGGGGAGGGTCCCTGGAAGGAAATCAGAGGCTGGGGCCCAAGACATCCCCACCCCTCAGATCCCAGCTCTCAGCCCAGGACCCTCCAGACGTCCCCATCAGTCAGCCCAGAACTGCTGTTCCCCATCCCCAGGTGCCCAGGGATGTCCCCTTGTCCCCAATGAGGAGGGACCTGGGACAGCTTGGAACAGACTCACCTGCCTGCCCGTGGGTCCTGGAGCTCAGACTCAGCCCTGGAAGAGAATTCACTGTGAGACATTTGTCCCCTGAAGCCTGAGCATGTCCTGTCCTTCCCGGGAGCCTCCTGAGCCCCTGGGGTCTCCTGCTAGAGCAGGGCCTGGACGTGGGGTGGGGTCCCTCCCAGACCAGGTCTCCACTCCTCTCTTCCCATCTCACCAAGGCAGAGCAGGGCCGTGAGGGTGGGGGTCATGGCGTCTCCTCCCACTGGCCCCGGCTGTGCAGATGGATGAGACCACGGTGCCCGCAGTACCGAAAAGCACACAGGGTGTGGCCACTTGGAGGAAGGTTCCTTCCCGTCATGAGGTTGTCACATCAGCAGCCCCACAGGAAAAGGAACTTTCTCAGAGCCTCGCTCTGGTTTCCCCAGGGCTGGGGTGTACACCAGGCTCTCTGGAGATATTTCAGACAGAAATGGGGTCTCCCCTGATCTGTGCCCGCTGTCTCCCTGGTCTTAACTCCTTCCTGCCAAGTATCAGCACATATTTATAGGATTTTGCCGTATGCCTGACCATGGAAATGCACCAGTGACCAAATAGAAGGAAAATTTGAGTGTGCAGAGACTAAGGCAGATACCCAGTGTGGTAGCTTCCTGTTGCTGCTCTAAGAAATTACTACAAGCTTAGAGGCTTAAGATAGCACAGATTTGTTGTCTTACAGTTCTGACTATCGGAGGTCCACAAGGCATCTCCTTGGGCTGTCGTCAGTTGTCATCAGGGCTGTGTTCCTTCTGGAAGCTCCAGGGAGAATCTGTTCTCTTACCTCCTCAAGCATCTGCAGGCTGCCTGCTCTCCTTCACTCTCATCCCCTTCCATCCTCAAAGCCAGCGGTGACGTTATTCCAGCCTCTGCTTCCATCTTCTCTTGTCTGATGTCACCCTCCTGCCTCCCTCTTTCACGCATAAGGCCCCTTGGGATCAATGGGGCCCACCTGGATAATCCAAGATGATCTTTTGGCCCCAAGATCCTTAACTTAATCACATCTGCAAAGTCCCTCTTGCCACGTAAGGTACCGTATTCACTGGCTCTGAGGTGTCCAGGATGTGGACACCTTTGGGAGGTCATCACTCTGCCTACCACACGCCTTCACAAAACCCTTTAGCCAAATCTTGTATAAACCACTTCTGTTTGATGACGGAGAGCAGCTGGGCACGGCCAGTTGCAAGTTTGGTTGGTCAGTCCACACCCGGTTCATGACGGGAGCTCACCTCACATGGCGACCTGCCCCCTCAAGGCCAAGTGTTCAGTCTCTACAGCAGCCCAGGAGCAGGCTAGAAGCTGTGTCACAAATTGAAAATCATTTCTGCAGAAATGGCACAGCGTGGCTTCAGAATCTTAAACGACTGTGTTGTCAATTCATCTAAAGCTTCCTGCCAGCGGCTCTGCATAGGAACCTCATCTGCTTCAGGTGCTTCCAACGCCATTGCATCTGCTGGGCCACGGGCTGAGGCTGTCTGCAGCCTGCACCTGTTGCAGAGATTCCTTCCATTCCGGGACCCACTCGAAGCCAGCAGCCTTTCAAGGTACGTAATAAATGGGCTGAGGTAGCATGTCCAAGGAGGTGTACGTTGTCTCCAAATTTAAGAAGAGGCCCATAGGTCTTGGACTTGTCCCTTATGAGTAAGAGGTCAGATGGAGCGACGTGTCTTCACCTTGGGAGGACCTGCCTCAGC